GTGAACAGGTTACATACAGGATTTGGGAGAGTAAATCAGGCAGTGAGCATAAACTATGTGGATAGAGTTTGGGTAAGATTTCATGGAAGGGGGCTGAAGACCGACCAACTTGAGTTTCTAGCACCAGGTCTAGCAGCTCTCAACTGCCTGTAACTCCAGTTACAGGTTTCTCATGCCCTCTATTGCCCCCTCTAGGCACTTGCACATACATATGGCAAGCATACAAATTTTTTAAAGGAAGATTGCAGCTGGGTGTGGAGATGCATGCCTTTAATCCCAGCACTTGGGAGGCAGAAGCAGGTGGATCTCTGAGATAGAGGCCAGCCTGGTCTACATAGCAGAGTTCCAGGCCAGCTGGGGCTACAGGAACACCCTGCCTCGAAAAGGCAAAGAGAAAAAAAAGTTGCATGGAAGAAGGACTTGGAGTCTCCCAGTGGGGTGGGAAGGAAGGTGATTTTCTCAAGTACTCAGGCATAAAGGTGGATTAAAGATGTTAGCTCACGGGTACAGTGCTTGCCTAACAAGGCGCCGGGTTCCAGCACCACAAGAAAAGGGGAAAGCAGAGATGGTACATCAGAATGGTTGGTCAGTTGGGTCATTTGACAAGTATGAGAAATAACTTGAAATAGGCTGTTAATATAAGTGATTAGCCATGCTTGGTCCATAACTGAAATGCTGTGTGTGTGTATGGTTCTGGGGAGCAAACCCACAGCTTCGTACTATAGGAACTTAATAAGATGGAATTACATCTCCAGCCTTGCAATACTGAACACATGAGCACCAAGCACCCTTCCTGGACTTGATATTCAGCTGTGCTACTCAAGTTGATCACTAGGGGGCATCAGTTAATCATATACTGCAAAAAGCCACAGACCTAATCGTAGATTTGTAATGAAAAGTTGTGTGACCTTTTCAAGTCGAGGCATTTGGAAGTTAGAAATATATTTTGAGTAATATTTCAGAAAATGAAATGATTGAGAAGTCCAATTTGTACTATGAACATGGGACTATTTGGTTGTGTTTTAGACATGAGGCTGACCTGACATTTTCATGGGGTAACAGCTGTTTTGTTTTTTTGGTCTTTTTGAGACAGGGTCTCCCTGTTGCCCCAGCTGGCGTGGAACTCGCTAGCCTTGAACTCATCTGTCTTTACCTCCTGAAAGCTGGGATTAAATAAATTCTCTTAAAACAGAGTCGTATGTAATCCAGGCTGGCCTCACACTTGATTGAAGGAATGCACCACCACACCCACCGGGGTGACAGCTTTTAACTGCCTATTTTTGTTTTTTGGCTGGCCTGAAACTCGCCACCATCCTGTTCTAGCCTCCAGAGGGCTGAGATTTCAGATATGAGCACCAGGCAAGTTCTAGTAACTGTCTTTATGCCAGCATTGGTTAGTGGACTTTAAGTAAAAATATATTTTATTAGTCCAGTTTCATTAATTTAGCATAGAGAAAAAATTATTATGCACATTATGTTGAGGGGTCACTGGTGCCTGCTTGGTAAGTACCTTCACCCACTGAGCCATCTTGCCAGTCCTTATTACCATTTTAATTACTCTTACAATGGGGTGCTAATTTATATAAATACCTTGCAATATTGCTCAGAAAAAGATGGGTAGGATTCAATTTAGATGACATTTATAAAATAAGATTCAGAGAGGCTTAGCATGTGTAGTAGTCACTAGACTATATACCAAATGTATAGTGGTGTGACAAAATTTCACTTTTTGAGGCACATTCTGTAGCCTAGACTGGCCTTGAACTCAACAATAATCCTTCGGCCTTCTGGGTGCTAATACAAGTACAAGCCACCATGCTTCATGATCCTTGCCTTAAATGGTTTCTATTCCAGTAAGAAAAGGAACAGAAACAATAAGCATAATAGATTCACTGCTATGTTGGGAGGTAATGCATACTATAGGAAAAATTAACAGGAAACCTGCCGGCTTGAGTTGTAGAGTGATCAAAAAGGCTACATACACTGAGAAAGTGGTGAAAGCAGTATAGACCAAAGGTAAATTCGGGGAGACAGGAGACACTGCAGTAACCCAGAAGGGGGTTGATGATGATTAGGGCTGGATAGTGATGGGAGTTAATAAGCTCCAGGTATAGTTTGAAGACAAACCAACCGAATCTAAATGTGAGCTGGATATTGAGGGGGAAAATCACAAGGCAGGGATGCTTCGAATATTTGCAGTCCTACAATAGAGCTACTGCATGTTTGAATAGTTTTGTTAGTGAAAATATATCGATATGTAAACCTTTCTGGAAAGCAAGGTTTGCGTTCACAGCAGAACACAGCTTGTGGGTAGTGCTGATCTGTAGCTTATACCCCACCTTTGTGTTCCCATTCCTGTTGGGAACATTCCTAGGTGTAAAAAGCTCCCTACGCATTTAAACTGTCCGGATCCCTTACACATCTGTATACTGTGTTAATGCATCCATTCCCTGTGGAGACCAATTAGGTAGGGTATATGGAGTCCTAAGTGAGAATGGAATGAGCCCATGTTCTAGATAGACTTTTTTTTTGACTGAAGTACAGTCCTAAAGCTCAGGGCTTTGGATAAGCTACTCTGAGCTATTATAAACCCCTACTGAACTAATTGCAACCAAGAATTCTTTTTGTATATTTAATGATTCTTCTCTGTATTTTAATGTTTTTTTTTTCAGTTCTTTTATTGTTTTAAATAAAAGCCCTATGAACCCTGCTTCCTGTGGCAGAATCACTTTTGTTAACTATAAAGGAATGTCCTCACTTATTAATAAGAGTTTCCTTCCAGGCATTTGCTGTTTTTTAATTTCAGTAGTCTTTGGTTCTTCAGCAGTAAGGAGTTGGATGTACCAGACAGGCAGACAAGAGAATGGTATCCTTGAAGACAAAGAAGAGCCGTCAAAGAGAAATGGGGAACTGCCATAATGCTGCCATATGGCTATTTCAACTTTATTAAAGCAAGTTTAGTACCTAGTTTTCTAAACGTTTAACGGGCATTTGTGAGTGTTCATTACATGTGCAGCCAAATATTTTTAATGGTTATTTCCTGCAATGCATTTCTGTCATCTTACCTCCGCGTTCTTTTAAAAAAAAAAAAAAAAGGTATAGCCAGTTCAGTGAGGTGGTGGTGGCTGTTGAAATAAACTGAGAGCAGAATTGTAATCTACAAACTTCTTAAACTAAGATTTCCAGTAATCAAGTTCATTGTGATCAGTGAAGGTACTGTGTGGACTTAGCGGTTCACAAAAATACTAATTGTGAAATAGCCAAAGGGAAATTGCTAGTTTTAAAGTCTGTAGTTAGGATTAAGTGGATGTTTCTGAAATTATGAATTAAAAATGCTGTTGAAGCATTTTCAAACAATTTTGGAAAATAGTGAGCTTGTTATATCCTGTAAATACAGATTAGATAACACCAAATGTACTTGTTTCCCCTAAGAAAATAGTTTAAGCTTCTGGGTTAAGGTCGCCCCCAGTTTAGTTTGGATTTCTATATGAAATGTCTATTAGCTATACCTGGGCTTCAGATAGAGACTGACAGATTTGAAGTATCCATTCCAAATGAACTAAAGAATGTCATTCCGTTAAAAAGATGAACAGCTGGTCATGTAGAAACTCCCTGGAATGTTCACTTGTCCGACAAAGACAAGGAAAGAAGAAACTAAAATGTTGGGTATAAAGCTTGTCAGTAGTGGGAATTACAAATCTATACATAGATATACACTGACACTGTACGTGTATAATCTTAGTGGAAATCTTTACACAGTTCTACTTGTCTACTGAAAAACTTAACTAGGAAAGCCCGAGATCCGGCCAAATTCATTTTAGTGGGATTCAGGATTGGATTTGGAAGTCCCGTTTTATCAGACTACCTTCGATGAAGAGTCAAGACCCTTGTTTTTAAAAGACATCTTCGTGTTAACTATGGGATTAAGCTCGAATTTCTTAGACTGGCACACAAAGGATTTTACTATCTTAGTTCTCCAAGCTTACCTTTCACTTTCTTTGTTCTAGCTCTGTAACTAAACAGAAGCACCAAACTCCTTGCTGCTTGGGTACAGCAGCAGCCCTTACCCTGATCAGTTAATTTGTCCATTCCTGGTGTGTCATTAGAACATACTTGGGGCTCCCACTTGTAGTTGAGTTTCTCAAACGGGGCTAGATCTCTGTTTATGTCTTTTTTTTTTTCGGTCTTATTAGGAAGCAGCGTCTCTGTAAAATGTTTAAATGTAGATGTGAAAGTGGACCCTCTCTGAGTCAAACTCCAAAACAGATGCGAAAAGGCTGAAGCGTGGATCTCCCAGGGCCGGACATCTCCCGGGTTTGTGTTATGGTTAAGTTGGGTTACGGTTCTCAGAGGCGTCCTGGACTGCATGATCTGATGAAGAACGAGGCCTGAGAGTTTGTGTGGAAGGCTGGGCTGGGATTGGCCTGTGCTTTCGGGTCAAGGAAAAAATAAAGTCGATTCTACCTGAAGTGGGTCCACCATTCTCTCCCTGCCACTATACCAAAGCCGACAGATGGTAACCTCATTTTGATTTAGCTAATTCTCTCCAGGAAGCTATTAATGACGGTGAACAAAAAAGTACGATGCATTCTAGGGCTTTGTGTCCTAAGACATTGACGCAGGCGTCGGAAGGAGTCACACCGCGGAACTTGGTGGTCCCCGAGCCTCTTTCGCAGCCTCCCGGGTGCTCCAGGGCCGGGCCACCGGTTCTTCCAATCCGAGACAACCCTGCATTCCCGTCGCTGCTACCCGCCCCCGCAGCCTCAGCCTTGGATTTTCAGCCAGGGAGGGGCGGACGTGGGGATGGCCTTTCGGCTCTCTGGCGTCGGCACTTGTCTCCAGGCAGCCGGGAAGACATCAGCGACCCACGGGTGGAGAGCAGTTTCCAAAGCTCCGCCACCCGCATCTTCCGGAAGAGCTACGCGGAACGCGGTGGGCGGGGCCGGGGAGGAGGGGGTGTGGCCAGGGCGGCGGGGGCGGGGCCGGCCGGCCGGCTCTGGGAAGGCCCTAAGTTAATGAGGCGTGTGCCGGCCCGCGAGCGCGTCTCGGAGCTGGGCTTTCCCTGGCGGTGCGGGCGCCAGGAGCCGCCTTTTCCGCTGGGTGTCACTCGGGGGTGGGGAGGGTGGCCCATTGAAAAGCGCCGCGAGGGGACCCGGCCGGTGCCCTTCAGTGAGCGCTCGGTGGAGGAAGGTACCGAGCAGCTAGCTCGCGGCTCCGGGACCTGGTGGCGCATCCGGACACGGCTGCCCCTCTGCCGGGACCCCGAGCCGTCGCCGCTCTGCCTGCTGCGAGTCAGCCTTCTCTGCGCGCTCCGGGCGGGCGTCCGCGGGAGCCGCTGGGGAGAGGACGGCGCGCGGCTGCTGCTGTTGCCCCCAGCCCGGGCTGCTGGAAGCGGAGAGGCCGAGCCCAGCGGCAGTGCCCCTTATGCCGGAAGGATGCTGGAGAGTAGCGGTTGCAAGGCGCTGAAGGAAGGCGTTCTGGAGAAGCGCAGCGACGGGTTGCTGCAGCTGTGGAAGAAAAAGTGCTGCATCCTCACCGAGGAAGGGCTGCTGCTCATCCCGCCCAAGCAGTTGCAACACCAGCAGCAACAGCAACAGCCTGGGCAGGGGACAGCTGAACCGTCCCAACCCAGCGGCCCCGCTGTCGCTGGCCTTGAGCCACCAGTCAAGCTCAAGGAATTGCACTTTTCCAACATGAAGACCGTGGACTGCGTGGAACGCAAGGGCAAGTATATGTACTTCACCGTGGTGATGGCGGAGGGCAAAGAGATCGACTTTCGGTGCCCCCAGGACCAGGGCTGGAACGCAGAGATCACGTTGCAGATGGTGCAGTACAAAAATCGTCAGGCCATCCTGGCGGTCAAGTCTACGCGGCAGAAGCAGCAGCACCTGGTCCAGCAGCAGCAGCCTCCGCAGCCCCAGCCCCAGCCTCAACCCCAGCCCCTGCCCCAGTCTCAGCCTCAGTCGCAGATCCCGCCCCAGCCCCAGCCCCAGCCCCAGCCCCAGCTCCAGTCCCAGCCTCAGGCTCAACTCCAACCCAAGTCTCAGCCCCAGCAGCTCCACCCCTACTCGCATGCTCATCCTCATCCTCATCCGCACCCACACCCGCACCCACACTCTCACCCTCATCCGCACCAACTACCGCACGCGCACCAGCCATCGCACTCGCAGCAGCATACTCAGCCTCACGGCCACCGGCTTCTCCGCAGCACCTCCAACTCTGCCTGAAGAGGGCAGCACCCGGGCCAGACAAGGTAAGATCCAGCCAGCTTGGGATGCCTAGAAAATGGGTCGGCGCGGTTGTTGGGAAGAATAGGAACCTCTTTTACGGGTTCGGCTTTCTGGTGACATGAGAAATCGTTCCAGGTTTCTGGAAAGGTGGAAAGATAGGCGAGCTGAAGCTAGTAGAGGATGGGTGGAGAGGGGAGGACAGAGTATCTCAGGCAGGAATCGAGGCACCGTGGACCACCTACCCGCCTATCCACACCGCCCCTGGTCACTAGCATACACCCCAGGGCCGTTTAATTGTGTGCCACCTCACCAAGGCGGCGACCAGGTGCGCTTCTGAACACGCTTTGTCCTTCAGGCTGACTCACAACTTGGGCTTGGATTCTGAGCCACCTATTTTATTCGGTTTCATTTCTTTCCAGGTTTTGAGAACTTGAGGAAGTTGAGAGCATTTCTGTTTTCCTCACTTGGATCAAAACAGTCTCTCCACCCTGAACAAGTAGTTTGGACATCACCCGGCTGATAACTTGCGATTCCTCTTAGTTTTCTGCGTCTTCTTCATCACCGTGCAGGAAGCGATTTTTGAGTCAAGAAGACTTTATTTATGAACCTTTGAAAGGATCTAATATAGCGGACCTTCTAGGAGCAATTTATGTACTGTAATTTTATTTTAATGTATTTTGGTTTATGATTATTTATTAGTTTTTTTTTAATGCTGTTCTAAGACATTTCTGAATGTAGGCCATTTTCCAAAAAAGAAGCTTTATTTTCAGAAACCTAAGTAAGTTCTAATCTTGGAAAAGAAAAAGAAAAGGGGTGGTGAAGGGGAAAACACATTAAAAAATCGATTCCATATTCATAGGGCATTTCCAGAAAGTCTGACTCTCATTGTTAAGCCAGGTGGTTGAAATTAAACTGATATTTTTAAATTTTTTTAGATTTCTTTCTTAGATACATAGTATGTACAGAAGTTTTTAAAAAGCTCAGAATTGTATAACTAATGAAACTCATGCTCAAGAGCAAGTTTTTCTAAAAGAAAATCAGTAGTAGTGATACTGGATTTCAAAGCATTTTAACTGTAATCCAGCTGATGACAGGATACTGGGCCTTGATTATGGAACAAACTGGGTCTGTTGTGGGACGTTTAATGAATCCTTTTGGAACTGAGAGCATGACTAAAGAGTGGCAGGCCCTGGGGTTCAATCTCTAGCATCCCCCCAAGGTCATTTTGACTGATATATGAATATGAATGCATTAGTTGTTTCTGTTTAAAAATGTAGTGGAGGTGGGGAGGATGAATTTATTTGAGAGTTGTTATGCCCCAGTTCAGACCCCAGTACCCTTCCAGTTCAGACCCCAGTGCCAAGAGCTTTGCATACTTGACTTGGACCACATTTTCTTAGCCTTTAACTTTGTTTTAGAAGCACTCTGAAAAAAATCTCATAGTTGAAAATAATTTGTAAATATTTCGAAGGACTATGAGTCATAACCTTTTAATTTTCATAATGAAAGTAATAAGCAGAGAAATCAGCTCTTTTCTCTTTATTGCTCTGAGAGAAATTTGAGTGTGACATGTTTTGGTTAGGCTAAACTCAGAAATGGAAGAAGGAAGGACTTAGAATAAGCAGTAGATTTTCAGTAAGAAAACAACCTAGGCTTGTTTGAGTGGCCGCTTGTTCAGGAGACTGAGAGGGGTGGGGGAAGAGGATGTGCCTTTAAAGGTAGAACAAACCCTCTTCTGTGTTAAAAATCCAAAGGATGGTCAAAATCCACAAGGGCAGGTGCTGCTTAACTGTAGAAGTCCCAGATACCAAATCCTCCTGGGACCGAAAATCACTTCCTATCTCTGTGGCTTTCCTGACAGGTCTGTGTTTACCATTGTCCCTTTCATCGTGTCTTGATCAGTATTTTTCCAGCATCCAAATTGAAATGCCGTTTTCAAGAACTGACATGTCTTTATTCACCTTCTGTTCAGAAAGGAGATTCAGTAAAACTTAAATGATGCAGTTTTGAAGTCATAATTTAGCCAAAAGTTACAGAAAAGAATTAGAGCTTAAGCAAATGACAAGAAAACCTAGGAGAATTTCCACTTTCAGGACTATTTAGTATGCAGTTGTGAAAATATACTGCCAAGATTTAAAAGATAGTATGTATATATGACAGCTCAGAGAGCCAGAGTCAAACATTTAAGTTTGATTTGGTTTCCTTAGAACTATTTTTCTGCCTCTGACTGAATGCCCCAAATAGTATTGTAGTTTATACATGCAGGCAGGTCATGGTAACCCCAGATAACCTATAGCTCTTTCCAACTGGAGGCTTTTTCTTCTAAATTCATGTATTATAAAAAAATAAAAATAAAACCTTTACCAAATAACTTGAAACTGAAGATTGATGTAGGTTTTTAAGAGGCATGTCTATTATTGGATTACATGCAGAGCTGGGTAATATCATTGTTAAAAACAATATGCCCAGGCTCTGTCTTTGTTGCTAGAATTTTTTTTTTTTTTTTACTTACAATAGCCGTGGCCACCAGAATCATGGTTTCTTGTCTTTTCATAGCCCTTATTTCTGCTGTGATGTTGTTGCTGTTGTTTGTTTTTGAGACAAGGTCTTCTTGTAGCCCCAGCAGGCCTGGAACTCACTATGTACACCAGGCTGGCCTTGAGCTCACAGAGATCCGCCTGCCACTGCCTTCTGAGTGCTGGGATTAAAGGCATGTTATCCCATGCTACCACGTCCAGTTTAAAATTGTTTTAATACTCTGAAATTAGTTTAATATTTCTTCCAGAGGCTCCAGGTGGGGAGACCAAGTATGTTCAACAAAACAAAAGACAGACATACATCATTTCATATCTTGATGGCTTGATTCTGCCTATAAGAAAATAATACAAAGAGCCTAAGGTGATGTGAAGCCTGACAAAGCAGTTACATGGAAAAGTGTAGAAATACTTTTAGCCCAAGAAAAAGAACAAAAGGGCAGGTCTAATTAAAAAACAAATCCCTCTGAAACAAACCTGAAATATAAAAGCTGAAAAATTAAAAGGGCCCATCTTTAAACTGAATTTTGCCACCAGCTTCCTAACAGCTCATTCACTATTTGTTGGTACAAATAAATGACTGAAAGAAGGAAAAATGTATGCAACTCCTCAGCTCCAGAAGGTGGATTCACTTGCCTCACAGAGTATTCCTTTTATTTGCTCTCATGTTTCCTGAGACAACCAGTTCAGGTTGACTGAACACGGAGCACAGGGATGTTTTGGGGTATACTTTCTTAGCAGAAATCAGCTTAGATCTGCTTATGCTCCGAGGTCAGGGAATAAGTGTTCATGAGGTCCTTTCTGAGTGCTTATCTTCAGTGAGCAAGCTAGGATTCTCTAAGCTTGTATGATTCAAACTTTCATTTTAATTCACATTTTTCTAATGATGGTTATAAAGAAAGCTATACATGTTGCTTAAAGGAGTTTCTTCCACATGTAAACACTGTTAAGAAATCTGGCTGATGTTGAAAGGCCTGTGTTGGCTCTTTTTTTTTTTTTTTTTTTTTTTTGGTACACGTACACCAAAATGTATTTCTTTTAAAAAGCTCTGATTTTAAATCTGATACGAAGTATGTTTGCTTCCTGTCTGTGAATTCAAACATGTCACTCATTTTCTGTTCATAGAGGAAGTGATATAGTTTAGTTTGGTTGCAGGTGTTATTTTTTCAGGACAGACTTAGAAGAAGGGCCTAAGATTTGAATGAACAAACAGCAATTCCATAGATCACAGAGCTGTGTGGGATGAAGATAGGTCTGTGAACATTTGTTTGTTTCTTTTCCTATTAATTCAAACTAATTGAGTTTTGCTCTTAATAAATACCTTCAGCAGAATAAATTTTAAGTTTGGGAATTACAGATAACTGATATTGAATCCATTAAATTAATGATTCTTTCAAGACAAATACACATATTTCCTTAAAGTAACCTAAGATATGTTCGTTGGAAAAGTACATTGGATGGATTTTTAAGAATAGTTTTTAAATTCTTTTTATTTTATTATTATTATTTAGTCTTTTTGAGACAAGGTCTCTCTATAGCCCCAGCTGGCCTGGAACTCACAGAGATCAGTCTACCTCTGCCTCCCCAGTGCTGAGATTCAATAAATTCTCTTTCTTAAGACAGAGTCATATGTAATCCAGGCTGGCCTCACACTTGATATGTGCCTGAGGATGACTTTGATTCTTTTTCCTCTACTTCCAAGGTGCTGGGAATACAGGTGTCCACTGCTACTTAGTGTTTGTTTGATGCTGGAGATCTAACACAGGGCCTTGTGCATCTAGGCAGACACCACCAACTGAGCCACATCCCCAATCTTATTTTTTAAATTCTTGACCTACTTTGAAGGGTGAATTTTTTTTTAATTTTATTTTTCATTTATTTGAATTTTTAAAATTTTTATTTA